ATTATACAATGATACCGACTGCGTGCCAGTGTCCACGGGATTAGCGTGTCGGCGTGTTTACCCGTGCACTAAATATAGTAGCGATACGGTTCATTAGTGAACTCCGGTGTGCACCGGTCGTCGTCGTATTTACGTACATACGCGGTACGCACATAAGGGAGTCGCGATTTTTTTTTTCTTTTTTTTTTTGCGCGCGCTTTCGTCGCAGTTATTGCGTAACGTACGTGGCCGTATACACCGAGCCACACACGTGCACATCCCTGTTCGCGCACGAATCACGGTGACACAGTTCATTACACGGGCTCACTGTGTCGCTTATGTATATGTATAAGTGTATATACTCGGCTCCACCGTACCAGCGCGACGTAAATGACGAACACCTTGCATGTACAGAGACCTCTTCCCTCTCTCTCTCTCTTTCTTTCTTTCTCTTTCTGATGTATATACCGTCCATATACAGGTGCACACAAAAAACACGTACAGAGTGGTTTAAAATTCGCGATATAACTGGAATAGGGGAAAAATTGTTTATGTAATAGGAAACTATAGTTTTTCAATATAATTGCGAACTATTATATTCAACTATTATCTGCAATATAAGAAAGAGATAAAAGAGAGGATTAAAGAACAGGAAAAAATTGTCTACTTTATCCTGGATTTATATGAAATCTCACCTAATCTATCTTTTAACGCAGCGAATAATAGAAGTCAAGAAGGCTACGTTCATTCGTAGAAAAGGATAGTTAAAGAGATATTTATTAGAATCGTAATTTCGATATACGCGTTCCTTTGGTGACGAGTCCACCCTGTATATGACTTGTATACACCCTGGTGCACATTTATTCTCGTTACATGCACAGAGGTGTGTGCATAGCGAGTGGAATCGCGAGTGTGGGCACATCACCGCGACGCTTCCTTCCACGGTGGATCCCACCCTGCCCTAGAGAGGCATGGGCAATGTAAAGCGGCATGAAAGCACGGAATAGGCTTTATGTCGGTGGATGTGCTCTCCCAACCTGTCTCTGTATATATGTATATATATATATATATTCATATATACGTCTCTGTGTGTGTGAACGTGTAGACGAGTATATAGGTGGGTGGGTGGATAGGCAAGGCAAGGCAGGCTCGGCTGGTGGTCGCTCGGTTGCGAGGTTCGCTCGATAGCAAAGTGCGGTTCCCCTCGACACGAGCTCCTCTCGTACTTGCAACGCGGCAGGATTAAAGGGGAACAGCCCGTGTACGGAAATGCAACGATCGATGCGCACATGTCTGAATTTTCGTGTCAAATCGTGACCGATCGACCACGTTCTGCGGTTATGCGACTTGGGGCTGTTTCATCCCCGGCAATTCCATTCTTTACTTTTCGCGATTTCCAGGCAAGTTTTTTCATTCTTCTTCTTTTTTTTTTTATCAGCAAATCATTCGACGAATTCTATTCTACCTTTCCTCGAAATTTTCACATGGCAGCTCTCTTCTTTCCGATCCTTTATCTGTTTCCGAATTTTTATATTTCTTCGTGAAAGTTAGAATTAAATTTTCATGCGATTTCAAAAACATTTCTCTGCATCAACTCTGAATCATCGGATGATAGATGGTGTTGATTTATGTAATAGAAATAAATACGAAGGACAAGTGTAGCAGCTTTTCCTTTTCTATTTCTATGCTCTTAATGGGATGCAACGTGTTAATTAAATTCGCGATTTAACGGGTGTCGGGCGTTGGTGCACGACGCAGACAAGTGCACGTAGCATATGCGAACAGATGAACACGTCAACGTGTCGAACACGATACCCTCGTCTCGAAACACGTGCGTGTCGCCTCTGGTTTATCCTATCCTCTTACACCTCTCACTTCTCTTCTCGCGTGACTCTCTTTTTACATCTTACGTACTACACGTGGCTCGTGTAATTGTTATCTCTCCCCTGCATCACGCGATTACTCCCCCCGTTCTTCCTCGTTCGTGCTTTCCTCCCGCACCAGGGTATATTTTCGAAACTGGGGAAGGGTAAGCGATCGAGAGAAAGAAATCGAAGAAAGTATATACATAAAGTATATGTTACAAGATAGCCTCGAATTTTAATTATAACTCAAATACTTGAAATTTCATAGAAAATTCTTTCTATAAAATAAAACTTTCTCTCTCTTCCACAATCTAGAGAAGGAATTTTATTGAAAATTTACTTTATATTATCCTCTCGACTCGCGAGCCCCTTTATAAATCTAAATCTTTTCGTCGAAATCGAGCGCGAATTCGAGAGCAGTATCGGAGCGAAACGGCGATGAAACGAGGGATCGATTTGATGCAAGATGCTGACGAGACTGTTTGCAGATCTTCGAGACGCCTGTGGCGCCATGTCACGCGAGGTGCCGGCAACGAAAGCGGCAAAGAAAGCAAGGGACACGATCGTAACGTGGACGACAACGAGTCGGCACGGTGTTCTTCGGCTTCGCGGCGATTAAGGCCTGGGCCGGCCGGTCGGTAGGACGTTCATTAGCCAAGGTGCTGACTATACTAATAACAGTAGAGAGGTGATACGCGGTAAACCGTGTCACGCAGTGGCGTAGGTCGAGTCGGGGTGGCGTGGAGGAGGAGGAAGAGGAGGTGGAGACGGAAGTGGACGATGACGATGGACACGGTGTTAACGTAATACCGGTGAAAAGAGAGGAGAGAGGACGCGTTTTGTTGTTGCTGTTGTTGTTGCTCGTACGCTTGATGATCGGTTCGCGATACCGAAAGTGATACATCTCTATATATTTATCTATAATAATAATAATAATAATAATAATAATAATAATAATAATATTAATAATAATAATAATAATA